CTCTTTTTCAGCATCAACGAGTGGGTCTGTGTTTGCGCAGAAGCTCTCTCAATACAGTCACCTGGGCCCAAACGTGGTAGGGCGAACGGTTTTGTGATTTCCTGAAGGGCCACCTTCATCTCAGCTCTTCGGCCACAAATCTCAAATGGTGCTGCCGCCTTTACAGCGCAGGAGAAGCTTCTGCTGGTTCCTTCCAAAATCAGAAACTTCCTAGACGGTAACACTGAACGAACAGTACCTATTAATGCCCTGCTCCAGATGGCCTCTGCTCCAGCAGGAGTAAATATCAACAAATAATACATAAAAATATATATACACACACACACACACATGCTTACAGCGATGCCTCTCAAGTTTCTGTGATCTTTGAAAGGAAGAGCAACGTTTCAGCTTTAAAATCTCCCGTGCTTGGCACTGTCTGTAATAAAGTTTGACCCAGGACGGGGCTCTGTTTCCATTCTGCAAACCCAGCGGATAAAGAGCCGCCCCGGGGCCGTACGCTGCTTTCAGCAGAATCGCCACTGCGCTCAGCAAAATCCACCTCCTGTTCTGCCGAGTCAGACTGTTTCCCCACTCGAGGGGAAATTCTGCGTCTCACTTTCGTGCTTCTGTAATGTGCCCTTGCTTCGCATTCTTCTTACAAGCATCTTTTTTTTCTTTAAAGAAGTCTGACATTCTCTGAATCCCCCCTAAATTTAAGTTCGGGATGAGGACAGTAAGATCTAGAAAGAAAACTGAAAAGACAATGCCTTGGGAAACGTCTAGGTGACATATATTACTAGTATAACATCAAGCATTACAGAAAGAAAAGCAATGTACTCCAGCAGCTTATTTTTTAAATTTTAACATGTGATAAATAATATTGCAAGGCTTCAGTAATTCACAGCCATACCCAGATAACAATATTATCTATTACTTCTACTTCAGATGATATCAATCTTGTAATTCCACATACTTTTAGTGACATCTTTTCAGATCTCTATTCCTTTGATGGGCGGTGGAGAAAACCATATGTGCAGATCCATACAGCAATGAACTTTCTAAGCCAAACACAAGAACAGAAACGTTTCTAGGAGAGAGCGGCTTGCCAAGACAAACAAATTCTGCCAACATTTTAACACCACAGAAGGTCAGTTAGGTTATAATTAAGTCTTATTACCATTCTCATGAATTGCAACATCTTTTCACTTGAAGGCTCTTAATGCTCAGCAAAGGATGATTTTTTATTTTCCAAGAATCAAAGTAATGAGACGTTCTCATCTTGGCTTTAAACCTGAATCAGCACTTACCATCATAAAGAAAAAAGGTCTGTCGTCATTAAAAGGCAGAGATTTGTGCACTTTATTCAACCACTAACACTTCCCCACTCCTGCTCTTCCCTATTCCTCTGCCGGAATTTCACAGGGATTTTTTTCTCTTCTGTTCAGTACCGCTCAGGTTTTTTTCATTATTCCACATTTTCTTTTTTTCCTTCTCATAGCTTTATAACCTTTCTGCTTCCCTTTTTGTTTTAGCTCCTTATTTTTAACCATGGAACCACAGAATGGTTTAGGTTCCTTTAAATATCTTCAGGTCTCCCTCCTCTCCCCCGGCAAACTGGAGAATCCCGTCGTGGTGACTCTCTCCTGTTTCCGCGGGCACGCTGCGATTGCTGCACTCGACAGAACCGCGCCGGGAAACCACCTGAACTTATCTCATGGGGGGGAAAAGGTGAGAGAAAAATTGGGGAAGCAAAGACTTTCTTTTTTTTCTCCCCCTTTCCTTTTCCCACAGGCCAACACAAAGGGAGAGAGGAAAAAGCCAGGAGCCATTCGGCTGCTTCTCCTCTATCAGAAGGACAAAACCTGGTGGGCGCCCATCCGGGGCTATCGGCGTCACCGCTGATATTAGCGTCATCGGCTGCGGTTTGCTCGCTGGCATCAGCTCCTGGTGCGTGTGGCCATCCCATACGCATAGGGAAAAAAAAGCCTCTCGCAATTGCCAGGATGGTTCTCCAGTAAAATGAGAATTTGCCCTCTCCGGAGGCTGGCAAAGCATCAAGGACTATTTGTAGACTCTAATAACAAACCTGGAACATGGGAAGAACTGGTCAGCTGCGCCCAGCAGCACGGGGGGCTCCAGAGACCCCCAGCAGTCCCCGGCAGCGGGCACTGTTCAGTATATTCAATATATTCATCAATGACCTGGATGAAGGGATGGAGTGTACCATCAGCGAGTTTGCTGATGACACAACACTGGGAGGAGTGGCTGACACGCCGGAAGGCTGTGCCTCCTTACAGCGTGACCTGGGCAGGCTGGAGAGTTGGGTGGAGAGGAACCTCATGAAATTCAACAAGGGCAAATGTAGGTCCTGCATCTGGGGAGGAATAACCCCATGCATCGGTACAGGTTGGGGGTGACCTGCTGGAGAGCAGCTCTGGGGAAAGGGACCTGGGAGTCCTGGGGGACAACAGGATGCCCATGAGCCAGCGATGTGCCCTGGCGGCCAAGAAGGCCAATGGCATCCTGGGCAGCACCCAGTTAGCGGTCCTGTCCCACACACGCTGCCTCTCTGCCTCCCTCTCCTCGACACTCTCTGCCTTAACCCAGCCCGGCTACACGGATGAGACACGTCGTTGTGAGAGTGCCCCCTCGGCCTGGGGGCCACCTGCTTCTTCCATTTTATCTCTTCAATGGAACAGGCAAAGCTGGTGCAGAAGTGGGGCTTTCTAAGCAGAGGACCCCCACAAAACAGGAACTGTTATTAACTATGTTTCATTTCCTTCCAGTAAAATTTTTGCCACCTCTCCCCGACCTTACCCCTTGAAACAGAAATTTATTCTCCCGCTGAAGCATCCCACATACCGGAAAAGCCGATTCTGCACTCTGAGGGAACTAATACCTCTTAAAATATGTATGACCTACAAAACAAGTTTAATTTTCCCTTGCATGGCGAAAGTCTAGATGTGTAACAAAAAAAATCTTTCACAGAATGCTTTCTAACATTTGTCTTTCCAAGTTACCAAACAAGACTTCACTAAAACAAATCCAGTATTTTCCTGTCATAGGCTAAAGCCTCATACGGTGCACTCTCATACTGCGAATAGCCTCTTAACAAATAAAAATGACAATTTTAGTTATCATATGGTACTTCAAGTTCCCCCTGTCCTACAGGAGACTCACATGTCATCAGGGAACTGAGATGCCACCTCACTTGGCCATCCCTGTGTCATGGACGGCTTTTTATTGTAGGTGGGGCAAAACCTACATCCCCAGCACCCTTTTGTTTACTTCCAATTACATCAGTCTCTTGCATCTATAAGATTAACTTGTCCTCCCACATATTATTCATGCCTGTAGCCCTACAAAAACACGTAGACTGAAATCCTTGACCCACTGAAGTTGCTGCAGCTTCTCAACAAACTTCCAGAGCTTAAATTTTAGTTTCCCTTCCCCGGCTAAGATATTCCTTCTCTGATTACTCTAAATGCACTTCTGTCTTTTTCCAGTCTCGCTGGGTTGAAAAAACTTCTGAGGTGTAAAAGGATTAATCTGTTCTGTAATTTACAACCGTGGAAGACAGTCCTGGGATATCTGGGTCTTAAATGCTGTCTACGGTTACGTTTGCTTGGCAGTTCGGCATCTTACCACTACCCCTGTCAAATCTAAAAAATTCAAATTGGCCGTTGCTGAAATAATCCCTCACACCCTATTGCCATCCATAGGGCCCTCGGATTACAAGGCCAAATGACACAGCAGGTTTACTCTTTCCAGTTAATTTGGTACAGGATAAGTGAAAGAGGTTAAGTCGAAGTACTCCAAATACAGTTCCACACTCTCTCGCATAACAAGGCAAAAATCCACACACAGATAACAGTGGGGTATCAGCCAAAACCCCACAGCTTGTTCCTTCGCTTTGCAAACCTGAAACCCATTATCTCTGGAGCCACCGCTCGCTCGCGCACATACCAGCGTACGGCCTGTGCAGATGGTTCCGAGCTAACCGTCAATCCACTCGCAGTTCAAACCAGTGGTGAGCTACTCCAGCTGTTTTCCAGATCAAAAATATTATTGTCATTTCGCTATCGCTGCGTGCTGGGGCTTATGTAACAAAAATGCACATGTCCCTCTGCCTGGAATGCAATTAATTTCCTCCCTCCCCACGGAGCGCGGTACGTAACCATTCAGAGAGTCCGGATGCTCCAGGTTCGAGCGCGGCCAGAGACGCAGCCCTGGAATCGCTCCCCGCGGCAACCCGCTAGCTGAAAGAGGCTCCTGCGGGTCTTACAGACAGGGTACCTTTTGCCGTTTGGAAAAAAATAAACACTATCGTCTTGTTTATACATGGCTGCGGGCCACTGTGAATGCTTTGTTGTAGTTCTTTGTTTTAACCATCGACTTTGCTTTATGTTGGAATTTTAAGTATTCTAAATAAGTGCACTCGCTAGATGAAGTAATTGCTTCCGATCTGCAATCAGCCGCTGGACTTGCTATACGCTTTGGTACGGCACAAAAAAGGCATTGTACGCTATTAACTTTAAAATAGCGGCATAAGCCCATCTCGATTTACAAATACCAAATATCACGCAGACGGTTAAATTCAGACTCCATAATGGTCAACCCCTTTGTGCCATTTGCTTCTATAAAGAGAACAACTGGAACTCCTTCGCTGGAAACAGCGCACTGAAACGAGCTCATTTCCCCAACGCAGCCTTTGCTGCAACGCGCCTTTCACCTTTGTGAGCGCGGCTCACCCGGGGCTGTTTCTACATCACCTGTAAGACGTTCAGGGCAGAAACTGCCCTTCTGCACCGTACCGAGGGCCCATCAGCTGCTCCCGGGACACAAAACCACGGGGTGAGCAGCCCCAGGGTGTCAACTGCGATGAAACATTAACTTGGGGCTTAACTGCAGCAATTTCCTTTCATGTGTTATTATTACTACTCGCTTGTTCGGGATCGCCGGCACCGTTTACAGCTTACTTCTGCAGGGAACACCTGCAGTGGTTTTACTGTTCGTACCTGGTTAAATAGGCCAGAGCCAGCTCCGATCCCGACGGCTTTTGGGGCTCTGCCTTTTTTGTGGAGATTCCAGCTTCCCTCATCAGCTGTTTTTCTTTCTTCTTGCGCTCTTTCTTTAATTTTCTTTCCAGTTTCCTCCTTTCCTCTGCGGTAAGTTCTTCCTCTTCTTTTGTTGCCTGAAATAATCAACATTTAAATAAAGCGTTTATATTTCTATAGGAAAGAACGAAATATCTGTCGATGCAATAGAAGGACACAGATAATATTTAAACCCAGAAGCTTTAAGCTCCATTATTTTACTGTTCACTATGCCTCCCTCAGCCCCCACTCCGCTCGGTTCCCAGAACTGTCAGTACCGCACCTGCGGAAATCTGCGGCACAGCCCTCCATAGGCGATTATCCTGTTCTCAGCAGTGCAGGAACCTGAGCGCCTTCTAGTTACGTATTAAACATCATATCTAAGATTTGCTGTCCTGTTTGTTCTCCCATACTCCAACCTGAGGGGGGAACAGGAACGGCAGAGGCCGTTCCGTAGCGGAGGGAGGGTACAGATTATTTTTTACGGCACACACACATTTAAGTGGGAGAAGGAGATTTTCCTTAAGATCCTGAGTTTCTGGGGCTGTTTGCTGTGTGACCTCACACTCCTCTGGACTGAGAAAACCTCTGTCTGCCACACAGGGGCTTCATCTCCATCATCCCGAAGGAGATGTGACAACTACCATCTTCATCCAAGACCTCATGGAGATCCTTTAGCAATCTTAGGTAAACACATGCACAATCTTCATAAACAAAGGTTGGAGTTTCTTTAGGTTCATAGACAGAATAGTTAATTATTCACATTGAAAGCCAAATTACTATAAATATACCCATAAGTATACTCTAAATGAAAATATTTATTTCACGTACAGATGAAGAGCATTAAATAGTTATGCTGAGTTTATCAGGGAAAATCCAGTGTGAGATCACACAATGCAGAAATAAAAAGCTGTTCCATAGCACGATGCAACTGACTCCAGGGACTCCTGGAAGTCTGAGAGGGGTTCATTTATGTCTTTCCAGGCAACAGTCCCACTGAATTGTTTAGTGTCAACTAGAAGCATAAAAAATCACAGCTGGTCTAATACTCGATGGCTGTTTACTCAATGGCCTCCCCAAGACTGCCTCTTTGCAGAGCCCCAACGCCTCTAATGATGGTCGTACACAGACCTTCACAAAATTGTCGACAAAGTAGCTTCTGGGTATCCCAACCCCTAGGTACCCCGGGAAGCAGGAGGGATTTAGACACCGTAAAGTCACCTCTTCTGTGCAACCTCCCAGTGACAACTGAGCAATGAAAAAAATACGAAATTCTGCAAACAAGACTCTTACACTGTCTTGGTGTTGCTTTTGGATATTTCCCAGTCCAAGACTGAAGGGGTGGTGCTAATTCTTAGCTTATGTGATAGTCATAGACCTCACACAATCCCAATTAAAACTTTGATCGTGGTTTAAGGACCTGCTGGTCCTTGGCCACCTCCACAGGTCAGGCACTGCGATACAGTGCAGGCTAAAAGGTCTGAACGCTGAGGACCATTCAAACATCACCTTCTCTTCCGAGTAAGAACGGAGAAGCCAGTAACAAAAACACTGTAAGTATTGGCTTCCGTGACGAGCTCAGGGTTTGTAGCCCCTGTTTGCTGTGTACTGCTGCCCTACCATCATTTGTAGCCAACTCAGAATCGCAAACATTGACACACTTCTAAATTCGGGGGGCTCCGATTGGAATAGGTTATCAGGCCCCCATTTTTTTATCTAACCGTATTTAACATTTTCCATTGAGACCGTTTAAATATCCCGCTCACGGCATTTAACGAGAAGAGGTGGGACTATGGGCAACACTGGGGAAACACAGAGGATTGCCAGAGACACCTGCCAAGGACAGAACGCTTGTTCAGTGTCAGTTCATCTGACTCATCTTTTCAACTCTGTTTTCAAAGACCAAAAAAGGGCAAGAAAGCAGAAATTCGGATAAATGGGAGAGGGACAGGAAAGAGGATTTGCTTTTTTTGTTTAAAAACTTCTATGGGAAAGCCAGCATTCATGTGTAAATACATGCAAAAAAGCAACATATGTTGCATCTGTAGAGAAGACATTTTATAACTCATGCTGAGAATAAAATAATATTTAGGGTGAAGGTGGGTACGTAATTGTTATACAGGAAACAACGTTTGCATTTGAAAAGCCACCCTGGTACTTACTAAAATAACAACCCAGCCACACAAAGCCCAGGAAAACACCGAGGGTGGTCATTTATAAAGTGTTTGTAAAAGATTACTACAGCAGCTGTCCAACAGACAACACGCTACAGTTAATCTTCTTTTAAAAATAATGTAATGAATTTGTTTACTTTTCTGTGAGCCATGAAGCTTTCAAATAAAGCGACTGTGGCACATCATTAGAGCTGCTCTGATAAAGAGGCCTCCGCTTCGTCATACGTACAGTAAATGCATCTCTGTACCTTCCCTCCCCCTGCAACATTCCTCGCATCACCAAAAAGCTTTTTATCCCTCTCCCCGGTCGCTCCGTTAAAATCAAACCACGTTGCTGCCTCCCTGGAGGTCCCAAGGTAAATCCCGAGCCCTGAGGATGTTTGTTGCCAGCATCGCCGTTGATGCGCCACGGGGTGTCCAGAAGGAGAGTGATGTTCTCCCCACAGGGTCGGTGCCGTCCCGGGCACGGAACAGTTCAGGTTTACAGCCGGAGGTGGCCACTGCTAGCCCACAGCATCGTCCGCGGGCAAGGGGCTTCCCCAGGCTGCCGACACCCGTCATGAGAAAGCGCCCACAACTTCACAGCTCATGCAGCTTTTCCAGTTGGAGCTACGCTTTTATCCATCCACGTCAACATGACTGATCCAGGAGTACCTACCACGATCTGTCCTTGAGCGGTTTTCAATTTGCAAGTTTTATTTCCTTCATAAAATACCTACATTTGGTTCTATAATTCTCCACTGAAGCTGAGGGTGGTTTCATCGCGATTTAAAAAAAAAACAAAAGCGAACTTCCCCAAAACCTGGGACTCAAAAGAAAACAAACCCAAACCTTTCACTGGAATGTAAAGCCTAGTTGTATTTATGTTAACTTGGGTGACCTCTGTTATGATACCCTACTGATGCATCTCTCCTTTATTCAAATCAACAGCCTGATTTTTTTAATTCCGCTTTCTCTGCACTGTTAGTGTGACTGTTTCTCTGGAAGATGTGTCTGCCATTCGGATTAAGAGTTTTAGTGTTATGTCACTATTTAAATTAAAAAAAACCCCAACCAACAGGACTTCATTGTTTTGAGGTCATAAATATCCCACGTTGTCCCCTTCTATACTTAAAAAGTGACATCACAATTTGTAGCGCTACAATTTAGTCTTAACTACAACATTGTAAAGTCCCCATTTGAGCGCCCGAGACACTTGTTTATTGACGTGATAAATTTAAACCACATGGACACAGGGAAAAAAAAAAAAAAAAAAAAGGAAAAAAAACACAACACTGATTTATTTGCCAAACCCGCTGAGCGCTACACCACCACCTCGGCCTGTGGGCTCATTAGATCTCAATCTAAACAAGGTCAGGCTAGGTCAGCGCACGTGAATGAACGACATTCAGAGGGGAGCCAGTGGTCTTTTCGTGATTAAGGAGGTGGGAGTCTTCCACTTGGAAACTTTCCAGAAGCCCCAAAAAGGTGCTAAAAGGGATATTGCCACTGAACGCCGCATTTCGAACAAGGCAGACCCCCAAATCTTTAACACTTATGCTCATAAAAATCCATGTCGTCTTCGCAAGGGTATGGAGATGTGAGCTCAGACACCTTCAAGCAAATTCCCAAAGTCCATCCCGTACCCCGTCAATCCGCGTGCAAAGGACTGGGACTGCCAACGCAGCGCCTTTCATCCCTGCCGGCCTCGGAAATCCCGAACGGTGCGTCAACACAGTCATCTACTGTAAATAGTCTGAGGCATCTGAGTCAAACTATCTGGAAGCTTCAGCTGTGGCAGTTTCAGATACCAGTTCAAGTTCTCCGTTATTCTTTGTAACCTGGAAGTATTGCACAAATTTAGAACCTTTTGCGAGCGTTTATTCAGAACTGAGAAAAGTAACTACAACCGCAAGAGAAACTGCAAAAGGCAGAAAGATGTACTCCATACAGGATTTCATGAAGATATCTGACCCTTTTTTCTTCAGCAGAAGTGGCCAAACCAAACAGGTGTAGTTTTTCAGAGACCACATCTGCATCAACGCTTATCCTGCCAGGGGACCGTGAACCATCGCTGGGCAGCCACGACCAGGGTGGCACGGCCAGCACTCCTATCGGACTGTGTTTCAGCAGAGCAGTAAGTGCATTTTTCAATTTGTTTCCAGATTCATAGTTACCCAAAGGTCCTTGACTGCCTCACGCCTGAGTAGAATCGAAGACATCTTCTACAGGCTTCTGCTCCTCTTCCTCCTCACTCCTCATTTCAAAGACTCCTACGTTCGCATCCCCACCTGGATGTCGTCAGCACAGAATAAGGTCGACAAAGAGTCAGAAACTCTGAAGAATCGCAACAATGAACCGAATACTCATTTATCACAAATTTGCCTTTGGGATTTGGCTGTGTAGGTCTGAACCTTCCGCCTGTTGAAGGGTTCGGCTGTGCTGCCAAACCCACAGCAGTAACCGCAGACCCAGCCACAGCACCGAGTTATTATTTATTGGTACCAGCGAATCCAGCTCCTCCAAAAGCAAAACAACTTTTATCCTTTTCTACCAGCACAGCAACCCAAGTCCGTAAAAGAGCAAAGCAAGCAACGTCAGAAAATCAGAGGAATAAATTAGAACTTGACTAACGTGACGAACATATAAAAAGGGCGTCAAATTTTCGAACTCCAAAGAGAAAGATGGGGAACCGGATGATACGGCTTATTTCATAGTGGGAGTATTGTATCGCTCTGTTTGTTCGTTAAACTCATGTTATTTCATAACTTTTATTATAGAGAAATATCAAAAGGGACTTTGTTCACTGACCAAGAGCTGATGAGGAGCTACCGACCCGTCACGGAATGGCTTCTGCCTACAAGTAGCCTTGTGCCCCGCAGATGCCCCGTGCACGGTTAGGAGCAGGCAAAACGCCCCGTTTCTGCCGTACACAAGACATCCGAACCCAGACAAATAACTGGCCATCTGCCAGCTTAAAAACACAAAGCGGAGTCTTATAAACAGAGTTCAAAACCCACCGAGAAGAAAGGCTGGCAAACCTCAGAGGGGAGGTTCAGAAAAGGAAGACAGACAAATGATTTACCACCTGAGGCGTGCCAAAGCGCCGGGCCACAGCCACCCCCGCAGAATTTGCATAAAACCGTTCACGGCCATATTGAATTTAAATAACTATTTTTCTATCATTTAGAACCACACGAAATGAAGTATGGCCCAGAGAGGGCACGTGAAATTTCATGCCTATGCAGAAAGCAAATTTTGAATGAAAAGTAACATTTGTAGAAGTATACCTCCTTACACCCTGTCCGTAGCACTTAGAGGGGAAAATTTTTTAAAAAATTATACATTACTCAAAGAAAAAATTAAGGTTTTTCATAAAAGTTCTGTGTTTTTAGAATCTCAACTCCTCCCAACAAAAACATTGGGAATAACCTCCATTAAGTTGATTTGGAAAGGTTTCTGTAGACGCAACCCAGGCAGAAAAGCCTCAAACAAGTTCTGCAGGAAGCCACATTTCAATAAGAACAAGCTTTTTATCTTTCTGATCCAGGAAAGGATTCTTTCAGTGGTCATGTAAGTGTTGGGGTTTTTTTTTTAAAAAAAAGCGGCCCTGTGTACACAGCTACAGCCCCTCGCAAGCAGAAGCGATCAGGCAGCACCCTGAAGTCGCAGCTGCAATTTAGAATAGATGCGCTTTTATTAGCTCGAACCCGGGCTTAATTTACAACTATGTGATCTTTACACGCTTCACAGATTTACAGCCAGTTCTGAAGAGCACATAAAGTGTTATCATTAGGAGCGGCCGAATAAGAAGCAATTGAGCAATTTACTAAATTAACCGAAAGCATTTATAAGCACAGAGAACAGTGCGATTCACAGAATTCAGCTTCTTGTTGAAGTCCACTTTATAGATTGTTTGCTCCTATAAAATACATACTGCCGCAGACTAAGTTCTAAGGCATAAATCAGGACCATATTTTATTTCTCATTTTTCTCCACCGGTATCACAGTCTGAGTACAAGAGAAATAGTTCAGACACCGCCGCGACCGCCGGCTCGGGGAGCGCAGTTGTGCTCCATTTGCAACTGCAGCACTGCCAGGAATTTTCACATATTTATTGAGGGATTTTGCTTACTCTCTTACCCTTAATGAAACCATGTTAACCAATCAGGAGAAGATGGAATTAGGAAAAAAAAAAAAAAGGAGGAAACCCCTCGGAAATCATTTGTATCCCGGTCCCTGTGGCTTACACACAGCCCTTTTAACCCCTCCCCAACAACGCCCGGAGGAATTTTAATAGAAGGAGCACGAGATGTTTTCATCGCCACCAAAGTCGTCCCCTTTTGGGGGGGGGAGGGAAGTTGGCAATTTCTTCCGAAGTTTAAAAAGGCTTTGGGCTGCAAGAGGAGGCGGAGGCAGAGCACAGGCTGTTTTGAAATCTTTGCTGGAGAATCAAAAAAGAAAAAAAAAAAAAATCAAGAAAAAAAAATAAATAAACCAACCCCAAACCACGAGTTCGCTCTCCTCCAATGAAAGCGGTAGCGGAGGGTGTAGGCAGGTTGCCAGGCGAGCTCGGCAGCGTGACCGCGCTGCATTGAGTTGCTTTAATGAAAGCCAGGAAAGAACACATTACACAGTGTTTCTTCGGAGAGCCAGCTCGCCTCCAGTGATTGAAATCAATAAAAACAGTCGGCAAGGGGCCCAGTGGGGGAAGAGAGAAATCTCCACTACAGCATTCACTTTGCTTTCCACTTTCTCCCTCCCTCACCGCCCCCCTAAAGTTAAACTCCGAAGATCCCCATGAGGAGCTACTTCGCTTCCAGCGCTGGGAAGACGCCGGTGGGGATTTAAAGGCGGCGAGCGCTCTCCCTCGCCTCCCGCCTCGGCGCTCCCCCGGCGCGGAGGACGCGTAAGGCTTGTTTGGAATTTGAATCCCGCCTGGAAAAACTTCATCGGACAAGTGCATCCTTCTGCATTTTGGGGAAGGGATGGATTTTACGGTCGGAGAATGCTAAAAGGTGAGAGGGGAAAGCAGAGGAGGGATCTGATTGAGCCCGAGGTAGGATGTCCACCACGGCGGAGGGGACCTCTGAGGCTGCGGGAAGGACGGCGAGCGCACGCCTGAGATCGGCACGATCCACACCCTAAAGCGGCCGAAACGTTCGGGAGCACGTGACCGACAGGCCGACCCAGGTAAGCAGAACCCGCTTTTAACCGTCCTCTGTTCTGCGTCCCAAATCGAGCGAGACCTTCCTGCTTCAGCCTCCAGAGACCGCCCCGCGTCCTCCCTCGTTAACCTCGGGCGAGTTAACACTAAGCTGGTCCCGGCTGAAAATCGCGTCAGGCCACTAATCCTCACTGAACTATAAAACATACACAAAAGCCCTTTGTTTACCGTTTTTGTGCTGAATTTGCTGGTTGACAAGGTAGGACGGGGCCGTTGCCCGCGTCCAGGAGGGCCCACGCGGAGTCGGGGAACTCGACTGACACCGCACGCCGGAGCTGACCGTGATCTGAGAGAGGGCCAGTAATGAATTTCTAATATGGTCCATATTTATCTATTTTATTTATGTATTTTAATCACCATAGCAGCCACATGCAGTACATAGTTGCGCCGAGTTCCATGTGCTGATCTGTACCACGAATTCCAGCCGCTCGCATGCACGGGGGCTCGGCTGCCGGTCTTGTCGAGAAGAACTTTGCGACTATTTGCGAACCCAGCCAAGGGGGATTGCGGGCACGGCGGTTAGGACTGACCGACATGGCTTTACCCGGCATGTGCCCACTCTGCCATTACCCTACTGCACGCGGTTTTTCCACAGACACCCCTATAAAAACGGGAAAGACACAAATCGCAGCTGTCAGTCGCAACATCCTTCTCAAGTTTTTGGCCAACTTCAGATGGTTTATCTAGACTTCAGTGAGACAGGAAGGGTGAAATCCAAGCCTGCCTTTGCAAGGCAAGCAAAAACGATGGTAGGACATCCCTGCTCCAGCAACGGCAGGAATTCACTGGGACAGACAATAAAATAGGTGCCTATGGAGCAAGAGCAACCACGCTTGTCCCCTCTGTGCTGCCCATCACTAGATGTTGGCAGCAGCTCACTCTCCCTGCGGAGAGCTGGGGAGGGACTGGGGAGGGACTGGGTGCCTCCGCTTCCACTCAGGACCCCCCAAGGGGATGTTTCAGCACCTCATTATCCCAAACCTGTAGGGTACAAACACAGCCTGGATGACTCTGCTGGTAGAGAGAGACTTCCCGGAGTCTCCTCCATTTCAGGACCTCCAGACTGCAAGAATTTAGTACAGCAAGTGCGTATGTATTTCTGCAGGTGCAAACAGTGCTATTTTATTGGAAAATGCAGACTTTTAAGGGTGATTTTATTATTTTCACATCAAATAGAAATGGAAATGACCCCCACACTCAAGTGGTGGTCATTTGAGAGTGACCTGGAGAGCACCCCCATGACCAAAAGTATGAGACTGTTATTTTTGAATGTTAGTGTAAGCGGTTTTAAAGCATGAGCTGTTCTGATCAAGCTATGAAAATAACTGAGGCTATATTGAAATAGTAATAAGTTTTTGCACCAATTTTATTGGTCCAGTTTTGAACTCTTCATAGAGAACAGTCGCCAAATTATAGCTGGATGTAAATAAAGAAGGATAATTTACAATAAGAAAAAAAGGCAAAGTTGTCATTCATAATAGAAGATGGCCCCATAAGAGTTTCTGGGCATATCCACAGACCCAAGGCTCACCTCACTTTCCAGTTTTCAAAATCTGTTCCATGTTTCGCCTCCCCCTGCACAGATCCTTTGCAGAAATCACAGCACCTTCATAGTTGGGGAATCACAGCAATCACTCCCACACCAATCAACAAGTCTGGTTTGTGCTCCTCTTGGAGCTAAATTTATCCTGATGCAGAGGAACTCACTGAAGTCTTTACTTGAAATTTCAAACAAGGCAGGCTTCGGTGAGACTTCGGCAACGCGTATCGCTTGTACCCGCATTCTCAAGCTCAGATGATACCCCTCCCCATTAGTCTCCCAGCAGAAAATATAAATATTATCTTTAAAGCGGCGCGCAGGGTATTTTTGTTCCTAGCAATGCGTTTTTTCAGAAGCGAAGGGGTATGAGTTTCCACAGCATTTACTGTTAATGGCACGTGTTCTTTTTCAAACACACAACACAGAAAAACAGTATCATGTGTTTTCTTACTCAGAAGATGTTTTGCCCAAATACAGATATCCCAGCAGTCAGAGCACTTGTCAAAGTTTGTCAGCCGTGCCAATGTTATTAAAGCAGATTCCCTACCAGTGACCCAGTCCTTCCGCTCCTCCGTCAGAGTACGGAGATCTGGAAGAATCCCACGTTGCTCTGCTGAGCCGGATACAACAAAATAGAATCAATGGGAACCTATTTCTCACATTTCTACTAGTCGCGATAGTCTCACACCATCAGGAGCACTTCATCCTCAACAACAAATCACATCTTCACCATAGTCAAGAGTTCCTAATAGTTCATCCCAATTGTCCCTACAGCAATATACATTGGTAAAAGCGCTTCTAGAAAACAGTATATAAGGTTTCGTAACAGTCAGCAAAGGAGATGACACGCTTTTAAAGGTGGAAGGACAAACATTTCATTTTAATCTCATCTATCTAAATCTTTATGAAGGGGAAGATCTGGGATTCTACAAAACAAGTTGAATGGCTATTCCAAAAACGCTGAAATTCAACAATACAAGGGCAAATATTAGGGTCTGCTAAACACCTGGATCCCCCATGTGGGGCGAAACATAAGACTTGTGTCTGCACCGGTGGAAAAAGACTGTTGCCATCCCTTTCAAATGAACATCATCTGACGCTTCTTGAATACTGTAAAGCCTCAAGGTATCTCCTTTCTCATTTACACCAGTGGTTCAAGTTCACAGCACTGAATTCATTCAGCTCAGTATATTTAGTTTGCTCAGTCTCAAACTGACAGCTTCTCTGTAACGTACCCATTCTGACTCAAAAATGGAACATAATTAAACATACAGTTGGAGAAGGTGTATTTTCCCCATCTGTGGGAGAGCCGAGTGAAGCAGAAGACTGATGATTAAATGAAAATAAAGGGTTATCAATCCCTAGGCAGGCAGTTTGCCTTACGATTCAAGTAGGAATCCTTATGTTTTACTTAGGAAGACATTTTTGTTAAAAACAGAAATCAAAATCCCTAAAAAACCTCATACCTCTTTACCAACAAGTTGTCAGTAGCTTCAGCTCCAGAGTTCAACAGGATGTGTAGTTAGAGGGAATTAATCTCCTGGCACATATCCTCTACTTTCAAATGCTTTGTGTTCTCCATTCAATTAAAAGAAAAAAACCAATACCTCCACAAATTCCTATTCATTGGTTTCTTATTTAACAAAACTAGTATCACTGCACTTTGGTCCGCTAAGATATTTTGTAAAAAAAATAGTTAATTATTCCGGAATGTATTTCATCCCTGCATCTATTTAACTATTCGGCTGCATGTGCACACAGATGCCGAAACATGCCCTGTTCGATGTGCGATGAACGAGACCCAAAAGGAGACACTCAAGAAAACGGAGAGGGCAGGATTCCCTTCTTTGGCAGAAGGATTCGATAGCCCTAAAAGAGACACCCACAGCAACACAGGCAGCCCCTCAGCGTCCTGCCGCTCCTGCCGTCACAGCTGAGCATTAGGGCGTCAACAACCTCTGCTCACCTCTTGCCACTTGATTTGCTTTACGATGGGATAAATGGTTTTGGGGGACAGAGGGTTGGACCCTCGGTTCGGTTACGAAAAGAGAGACATCTTAACATAAAATAAGGAATGGATGTGATGGACATTACAGATTTTTGCATTCGACTTTATGTCCTGTGATCACCAGAGGCGGGTGTCTGAGCCGACGACAATTACTTCTTGTGACATGATTAGTCTTGTAAATATATGTAATTTCCATGAGTAGAGCTCTGAACACCTGTGTGCGGAATCTGAACCTGTTTAAAGAAACGAGTCCTCTACGGTTGACTCGTATCTCACGTACAGTTCAGTTCCCACCGAACATCCCCTTTTCAGAAGTTTTGTCTGAAGGAGAAAGGTAAAGGAATAACGGCTTTAGGAGTTGACGGGAATGACGTCCCGGTCCGCCTGCTGCTCTCCCGGGCATGGTGGACAAGGCGAGCAGTACTGTCTCATTAAACATGACTGGCAGGAAAAAAGAGCTTCAGTACGTTACTTGTCAGTTGGAAATGGTCTCCTGAAAGTTCCTTAAGGAAAATTCCATCCATATTTTCAGCATTTTGAAAGTCTCTGAAATTCCAGTGCAATCCATTCCCAAATCCTATTTATTTAGGAAGGCTTTGTGTGCTTGCTGTTCTTGTGAGCTCCCTGGTGACTACACGGCTGTGACAGTAACTCTTCAGCTCTCCAAATTTATCACACAGTCCTGGAACACTGAAATGACATCTGGTTTTTATAGCGTCAGGTGCGCCCTCATTATGCTTTTGTGAGGCAGAGCAGAAAATTGAAAAACAATTATGATTTAAGACCCTAAATTAAAACCTGTCGACTGTTTAGTAAAAATACTCCATAAAACCTGTTTGTATTTCAACAGACCACACTGAAGAATGTCCTTGTGAAAGCAGCACAAAACAAGGTGTTGGTGGTGGCTGCTTATTTTGGAATTAAGGCACCTAGGCAAGTTATCCCAAAATAAAATTGTATTAATCTACGTTTCAATAATAAGTAGCTTACATATATTTATAGAAGAAATATAATCATTTATGTGGATTGAATTTACAACTTGCATTAGTTTCAAAGTCGGGCTTTACATGCAGAAGTTACATTTTCCATCCTTGATGCAGCAAGGACAAACACAACAGAAAGGGGCAGTTGCCCACGTGATTTTAAAATTAAGTATAAAATAGAGTAGATAATTACAGGTGGAATAACATGTGAAATACAAGCCAGCATGGAGCAACCCACTAACAGGAGAATTAAGTTTATCACATACCTTTTCCGTTACCGCGTATTTTTGCAGGCAGCCAAAGAAAGGAAAGGTTTAAGGTAGGAATAGCGAATCCCGCAGACGGGGCAGCACCGCAGGAGGCGCTGGGAGGAAACGCAGATTGTCAGAGGTAAATCTGTGAATTGTTAGTGAAAGAAGAGTCGACGTTTCCGCAGCGCATAGGGGATAATGGCTAGAGTGGGAATAGACTGCGGAGCTTTGAAAGTGAAGTAGTTTATGCTTGGCAGATTAAAAGGAGAGCAAAGGGAGAGAGAGATTAATAGCAAATGGAAGGTCCAACTCAAGGGAAATTCGGATCTCCAAGATTTTTGAAAAAAATTTAACTCGTCTGGAAAAAAGCCAAGATGTCAGAATTCTTTTTTGAACGGCAACCGAAAAGCTTAATATTTCTTTTTACTTGCGAATAATATGACATACTTTAAACCGGGAAAATCAAACTAGAATCAGAATTAAAATAAAGATTCTACCTTAACATTGAGACATTCTGCTATTACGAATGCGAAATGAGAAACTGGATATCATAGTGCTCTGTAGAAGATTAAACTTAAAGTCAAGATGACTCTTAAAACACTCAAAATAAAATTGTAATCTCCAAAAGAAAAAAAAATACTCAAGTTTGAGAATGATTTTCTCATTTTTTTCTTTTCTTTTTAAAAGAAGTTTCTTTAGGAATGGGTACTTTCCCTTGGAATAGTGGGAGCTAAAATCACACTGAAAGGAAGAGGGTAGAAGGAGAGAT